GACTTCAACATGGAGCCGCCTTCTTTGACGCCGTGGCTCACCTCCCTGGGAGGCGTCTTGGTGTCGGGGCAGACCACGACGTGCAGGCAGACCCTGCCTGGCCACGTGTACGATTACGTCGGGGTGGACGCGGGCCTGCTCTCTCGGACGGGGGGAGTGCTGGTGGACGAGGCCGCCGAGACCTTTCCCCATCGCCCAGTGGCCCTGGAAGTCCTTGGCGCCGACCGCGCCCTGTGGTGCCGCGTGGCTTGGGAGCCTCGTGCCTTCGAGGCCAGAGCCCCGCCTGGCTGCAGCCGCTTCCCCTGCAACTGGAAGCCCGCCCAGGAGCTGATTGCGGAGGCGTCCACGGATGACGAGCTCGCGCAGGCTTGGGATGACGTCATGGAGCTCATCGAGCGTGAGTTGTGTGGGCGTTACGATCTCGTCGGGCGCGGAACCCTGAGACAGGTTGGCCTTGCTGGACCGCTGCGATGGCGGTGGGTGCAGTAAGCCTGGAAGCCGCCCAAACAGAGGCCCCCGACTCGAGGAACGGCAGCTGGCGCATGGGCTGTCGCTGCGGGCTGGGCTCGCCATCTTCGTCGGGTTCACGCGTGCTTGAGTACCAGGATCCCCGAGCTGCAGAAGCAGGCTGAGCGGAGTGCTGATCACGTGCTTAAGTTGGCCATCCTCCTCAATGACACGGAGGCCTTCTTCGACCGTCTATCGAGGAAGGAGTTGGTGTTCAGGGCTGTGGGCCCTGTCGTGCGCCAGTTCTTCGATCAGTGCATGCAGGCGTTGACGGACGCCCATTTCGATGACATGGTGGACTGGGTCATCGATCAGGCTAGCTGCAGAATTAAGTCCTCAGCCAAGCGCAATAGGAGTTGGACGGAGTGGGTGACTGCCAGCTACGTGATTGGAGCCAGCAGGGCCCATCGTTTTACGAAACTCAAGGCGCTGCAGGAAGCGGCCGCCGTCAGGCCCAGCGAGCAGCCCTACCAGTTGGCGGGCGATGGCCTCGATGACTGAGCCACGGTGTGGAAGACTTACGGTTGTGCACACGTGGCGTGCCTTCCAGGAGCTGGCCAGTGGTCTCTCCTCCTTCAGGAAACCGGCGTTGCCGAAGTTCGGGCTGCTGTGCTGAGCTTTCCTCAGCGCGCTGCGGCCGGGCCTTCGCGCCTGGCGCCTCGCAGCCTGCTGCATCTTAGCGATGCGGCTATGCAGACGTTCGCGCCGAGGTGCCAGCTGTGCTGCATGTGGCCGTCGGCGCGGATCCCGACGGAGCTCGCGCGGCTGCCCAAGCCAGACGAGCCAGGCGAGCACCGTCTCATTGCCCTGCTGCAGATGCTTATACGGGTGTGCGGGGAGGGTCCGCAGGTCGGTGTCGGTCGAGTGGGAGGGGAGGCATCGTAGTGAATTTCTCTTGGGCTTAGGCCCTGGGCGCAGCAGCGACTGCGCCTTCTCCCACAAGTTTGAGGCCGTGGTGGCTCTGGACATCGCCCAGCATTGTGCGTCCGTCCTGTTAGGCGTGGTTAGATTCAATGAGATGATCCTCCTTTTCGGCCGTGCTGGCCGAGGCTGCTGCTGTCGGGTACCCGCTGCGTTTCGCGTGGATGCTGATGCGCATGTATCAGCAGCCTCGGCGCAGCAAAGGCTTCGGTTCGGTTAGTAGGGCTTTCGTATCCTTCCAGGGGATTCTGCGTGGCTGCTGCCATGCGGCTACCTTCATGCATGTGGTCCCCCTCCGGCCGCTCCAGCCAATCCGGCGGGCGCTTCAATGTGCGACCCCTCGGGGCTTGATGGGCGTTGTCTCGTTCCAGTGGATAGGCCGTCAGGCCAGGTACGCTGGGATAGTCTTTCATGCGGTCTCGGCGTTTGCCCGGGGAACGCGTGCGCTGGGTTCCGAATACAGGCCACTAAATCTGGGTATCTCGCCTCGTCCTGCGAGGCAGCGCGCGCGGTCGAGGCGCGGGCGGCGATGCTCAAGTGTTCCGTTTTTCGGTCTGCTCGGAACTTCGGGCGTGACTCGTTTGCGGGTGGCGCCGCCCACATACTCCAGGAACGAAGACGTCTGGGGACGGTTCTTGGGCGTCGTGGTAGGCTTCGTGCACTGAAGCGGGCGGGGGGTTTGAGGGTTGGAGCTCTGCGGCGCACGGTTGTCATGCCGTCTGGAAGCCATGATTCCACGCTTATGAAGTTCCACTCGTTTGCTGGTGACCTTGTAGGTGCTCGCAAGGGTCTTGCCTCCCTGATGGTCTACCTGTGCGCGCAGAAGGATCGGATGTACGACCCAACCTGTGATGCGACTTGCCCGCTGCTGGCCCGCTATGCTGCGTGGCTCTGGGACGGTGGGACCTCGGCCTCTCAGCTCCGCGTCGCGTGGCAGGCTATTCGTGGCAAGATCGGCCAGCAAGGATCTTGGAGGATGTGTTTTGGCCCCATCTCGGCGGTGATCCTCACCCTTCGTAGGGGCGGTCGGGACTCGATGGCGCCGCGCTCGCTGGCCTCGGACGAGGGGGGAGCTGTGTCCATGCGAGTATTCGCCGTCCGAGGTCCGAGCTCTGGTCCGAGACGGCGTCGAGCGCACTGGCGTAGGTTCCCTTCTCATTGGCCTGAGGCTGCTGGTGCGCAGGAGATCTGGATTCGAGCGATGCGCCTCGCTGCATTGTCCCTCCCCGCTGGTGCTCGCCAAGGATCTGCTCGAGTCCTCCTGTCAGGGTGCCTTTAGCCTCCCGAGCGGAAATTTCGGGCCGGCCTTTGGGCGTCGGGTAAATGCACATGTTGTGGGGCTGAGCGGGGCACGCTAGGCTACTAGCTTTATGACTGTTTCGCTGCTTTTGCCTCGCAGGAGGACGAAGAGCACGCTGAGTTTCCGCGCCCTGACGGTGCGTGGCAGCAGAGGCAGGCCCTTCGGGGGCAGGGAATCTCTCCTCTGGGGGGTTCGGATTGGAATGCAGTTCGTCTCTTGCGCGGCCTCCCTCAAATCACTGGTAGGCTGCCGCCGCCGCTGTCCCATGCCCCCGCGCTGCATTGGGGTCTCATGGAAGGCGCCTGGGGCCCGCTCCTTCTCACCGACTGGAGCGGGTTGGCGGGCGCGCGTCCCGCGGCGAGGCGCGGTTGGAGCGCGGTCGAGGTCGCGGAGGATGGCTGGCCACTCCCAGCGAAATCTTGCGGGGGGCCAGGGCCATTTCAGATGGCACCTCGGGGCGAGCGGCGGGCTGGCCTCGAGGCGACGCGCGCGCCCTTTTAACCTCGCGATGATTTGTGATCACCTCAGCTTTGCTCGCGAGGGCCAGCGCTGGGACTCTGACCTCGAGTGCGGCCTCGCGCGCCACGCGTCGACCTGGCGAAGGATTTCTGGGCTGTCTGGGCGGTCGGGTTTACGGCCGCCGATGGTCTGGACTCCCGCGCACCGGTTGTTAGAGCACCTGGTCGACGAGGGAGCGTCGGCCGAGGAGATCCACCGATTCATGGGTAAATCTCGGAGCTAGGGGCGTTGCTGTCGCACAGGTCGCGGTCGATGCCCCCCAGCGTTCTGTCAAAGAGTGCAAGTGTACATTTGGGTTCCTGTCGAGGGCGGTGCAGGTGATTCGTGCTCGTC